TTTTTTTTTTTTAATTTTTTTTTTTTTTTTTTTTTTTTTTTTTTTAATTTTACCACAGAGGGACAGAGCCAGAGAGAGAAAGTGAGAAGGCAGGCTGCCAGGTCCAGGACTCAAACCATAGCCAGCCATGTGGGAGTCCAGCGACCTTAACCACCACACCACCTGCTGGCCCTAAGGTGAAGAACTACTTGATATTGTATTGCACGTGCCATGTTCTTCTGTGGGATAAGGAGTATGAAAACCAAATTTTAGTGCTAAACCCCATTGTACTCACCAACTTAGTCGGTTTTCTTTGTTTCCCTGATGAGTAAGAACTATATAGGATGATTTGAATACATTGTATATTAGTTTTTATTTTGGTCAATTATTAAAGTATAGGAAATTGACGCAAAAAAAGCATACATAGCCTACCACCTAATCGTTCAAGATTAGCATTTTGCTGTATTGGGTTTAAATCTTTTGGGATATTAACTGCATGTCTGATTGAAAGTTCCTTTTCCTTCTCAGTTCTGTATCTTCTTCCCATTTTTCACACAGCAATTTGGTAGTTCATCCAACACGTATTTTTTTTTTAAAGAATTACTTATTTTATTTATCATTATTGTTATTTTTAATTTGACCATAGCAAGACACAGAAGGAGAAAACATGCGAGCATGCTGCCAGGTCCAGGACTTGACTGTGGTCAGCCATGTGAGAGTCCAGCACCTGTAACCACCACGCCACCCACTGGCCTCCTGGCGAGTATTATTTGAGTGCCTACATGCTCCAGGTCCTCGGGTTATGGCACAGTGAACAGAAATCTGGTCCCTAGAGGTGCTGACATTGGAGAAGACTGGATAAACAAATGTGAGATAGGGAGTGCTGGGGCTGCAATTTCAAATGTTTTTAACATGGAGATGAACACTTTGTGTACTGAACTTCACGACTCCTGCAGCCCACCACTGAGGCATTTTGAACAGTGCATAAACAGTTTGGAGCCGATGTTCAATTATACCAGTAATTACTTCCTTCTGATTTCTTTTTTTTTTTTTTTTTTTTTTTTAGAATTTTTTTTCTTTAGGGG